AGACCCCATCAGCATCAGACAACCGCATAGAATCAGCCACACTCACACAAATGATGGAGATACCATCTACCTGGGCCCTCACCCTGGTGACTCAACTAATGGAAACAGCTAGAAGTGATTCTTGGGCCTGAGCTACATCAAAGGTGGGAGCCAGTGTAATGTTGTATCAGCAGGCTGAGACATGACCCATAGGGAGAAATGTTAAAATCAAAAGCAAATGAAACCAGCAGACACATCACTTGATTCAAAAGAAGCATCGCTGAATTTAGCTTCACTTCCAAGACTAACTTGACCTGGTCTTTTTTTTTTTTTTCTATTGCCTCTGGAAAGCATAAGCAAAATGAAAATTTTCCCAAAGTTGGCATGATGAACCCACCAGCCAAAGCCTTATTTAAAAAATTTATAATTTTCTAAGCAACCACTGTGGGAAATGGAGTAAACAGTCACACCCCCTACCTCTACGTTCAACTTTGTTTCTAACAATCCGACCCAACTCCATTCCCAAACTTAAAAGGTTTGGGTGCTTTCTGTGTGCATACAATAAACTCTTGCTAGGGCACTTCAGTGATTCATTGAAGGTGTTACCTCAGTTATTTCTGAGCTTTTCTTTATAGCCAAGTCCAAAGGGCCCCCCACAATGTGGGACCCCGCCAGACCCTGGCTGCACAGAGCCCCGCAATTCCGAGCCGCTGAGACACGTGCGCCGGCCACCGGCATCGGCTGCTCATCACGCTGATTATCGGCTTCAGCATGTTCTGTTTGTTCACACACGTTAAAAACAATCCCTTTAAAAACCCACGCGTGTTTAGCTCTATGCCTGGCACAGAGTGAGCGCTTAGTCGACATGAGAGAAAGGAATCAAATCTTAGTACTCACCGCTGCGCATTTCGCAGGTGGGCGGCGTGTTGCTGGAGAGCAGGATTAGGCCAGGAAGGGAAACTGCCCATTTAAAACTTTAAAGTTGTTTTTTGGGGTTTTAAAACAGTCTCATTTGGATGGAACCTACTTAATCTACCTCTTCTTTCTCCTTTCATCCCAGGAGGCGTCTGGCAGGGAGGCTGACAGGGGCGCCGTGCCCAGCAGAAGGTGGGATGGAGTGTCCTGCCCTGCTCGCTCCCTTTGGCCTGGCTTTTAAGAGGCAGCCTTCGGTCTCGCTGCACCTGCGCAGTGATTACAGTTGGTCACTTCCTGCCCGTGGGGTGGGTTCTCCACCTGGCTATTGCCATGCTGGGAAACGAAGCAGCCAGCCTGCCCACCTCCAACAGTCCAGAAGCCTGTCAGGCTCCCCCATACTCTCTTAACCTCTAGCCTTTGTGCCAGCTCAATTCCCAGTCATGATAGAGGAGGACAAACCTGCTGTCTCGTAAATGAAGTTGGTAAGGCTTTTACGCCATTGGCCTCTGTGGCTATCACCTGCAGCTCTGATCTTCATGTAGAAGGCGCGTGAATGTGCCCAACTATCAACACCTGAGCGTGGGTGTGTGCGCATGCGCAGGTGAGCACCCTTCAGCCTGGAGATCAGGTGTATAAGGGAGCTGTTATTCGGAGACAGCTATGGCAGAATGGCTAGGGGAGAAAGACGCCACAAGAGAACGCCAGAGAAAGCCCAGAGCGAAGAGCATGTAGCGATTAGCAGGGGGTTTGAGTTACTGTCTCCCTGCTGGCTTGTCCCGCCGCTCCACCCACCTTGCTATTAAACCTGTAAAAATGATGCGAAGAGTTCCAAAGTTCTCCTTCAAATCACTAGAACTGATAGTGAACCTACCTGGCCAGGGAAGGGTAGGGTGGGGTGAGGGTGGTTGCAAAACCAAATATTTTTTGGCAAAATTTGATTTCATGGGAGGGAAGGTTCTGCAGGTCGGATAGCAATTGCTTTTGAAAAAGATACATATGAATTTCTAAAAGGGTGTCTCCCAGAAAGGCCTCATCTCTGTCTCTTTTCTAGGAAAAGACAGAACTTGAATATGCGTTACTTGTTTCTGCACGTGCCTTTCTATCTAAACTCCACAACTGACCTTTCCTTTCTCTCCCCTCCCCTTCCCTTGTCTTAGCTGTTTAAGATGGTATCTGAGGCCACATGGGCAAGTTAATCCTGTTGTGTTTCTCCCACGTGGGGGTGGGGGGAAGAGAGGTGGGGACACACGTTATTATTAAACTTATTTTTTTTTATCAATCTGTCTGATGCTTGTTTGATTATGTGCCTGCCTAGAAAAACCAGAGAGGTATGGGATCATTTCCTCTGTGCCCTGAACACTACTTTATCACCTTAGGTTGATGATGTTATTTCAAACACAAGTGGAGAGCAGCCTCGAGATTGCCAGGAGCAGACAAAACCTCCTGAGTCAGATAAAGCTGAATTTAGTTTTATTTGCAAGTCTACCTTAACTTAGGTCATATCTTGACAATGCCTTTGGACATTATAAGCAAAACTTAAACTGTTTCCCAAAATTGATATGAGGCGATCATCACCCAATTCTTTTCTAAGAAAATTCCAGTATTAACAACCCCGTCACTATGAAGAAAATCCTTCCACCTCATATAGAAACTGCTCTGTAACAATTATCCCATTCCATGTTTTGGTTTGAGTGCCCAGGTTTGCAAATTGTCAGGTATGTGCACATTAAACTTGTACTAAAGTGCTTTGTCAGGGGTTCATTAGTGTCATTTCTGAACTTTTGGCAATGAGAAAAGTGTGTGCAGGGCACACACCGTGCCCCCAGACTCTGCTATTATATGCACATTGCTTTTCCTGTCAATCTCACAGGCTTGCAAGATAGACATTTTAGTTAAAAGTTCCCACCCCGCTAGTGTTAGAGGCTAAGTTGTACCCTTCCCCCTAGTTATTGTGACCCTCATAGATGTGACTGTGTTTGGAGAGGGAGCCTTTAATGAGGTAATTAAGGCTAATGGAGGTCTTAGTGGTAGGGCCCTAATCTGATCTCACTGGTATACTATAAAAGACACACCTGGAATCCCCCCTCTGTTCTTCCCTCCCTTGAATCCCCTTGTCCTCCCTCTCCTCCCCCTTCCCTCTCTCTCCTGCCCCCACCCTCCCATTTCTGTCATGAAAATATTAAAAAATGCCTTGAGAAGGTGTAGGGAAAGAGCAGCCATCAAACAATCAATGCTACTAGAATCTTGACTTTGGAATTCCAGCCTCCAGAACAATGAGAAAATAAATGTCTACTGGGTAAGCCATCCATATGGTGGTATTTTGTTATGACAGTCCAGTGGGCTAAGAGACCTGGAGGTCCTGACTAAATGGATCTGGAAATCTAAGCATTCTTAGCTCTGGGACTGGTATCATTGCTATCTCTAGATTTCCTGGACCTAATTACCCACTGGAGTCACAGGTCATACATTTCCTGGCCCCATCATCCACAACCAGGCTTCAAGCTTCCCGTCTATATTCCCTCAGTTCTTATTCATATTTATATATTTGAATATATATATAGTACTTAACCATGTCATTCTATTGCCCACAAACTCATCTACAATGCTGAGATATTCTTTAGGAGGCTGTTTTCATGCCATTTCTTCATTGATGACCTGCAGTTCAAGCAGTTTCAGATAGATTGCAAATTCTTTCCACCCCCCTCTTTCTGTGTACACTCAGGCCCATCAAGAGGCTATTTCCCCTGAAACCCTGTAAGGAAGAACAAAGAGGTTCTTATTAAGAAGTCTGAGCTGGGCCTTCCCTGGTGGCAAAACAGGTTAAAGCCTATCACTATGAAGCTTTCCAAAGCCACTGTAACATAAGTTCGTATTCCAGGCCAGGGAGGTGACCCACATGGTGTGGCAGACCTCTCCTGACCTGCCCACTGCTCCCCTCAGTAGTGTATTTCATCGACCTGTCTTTTCTGCTCCTCACTCTGTCTCTGGTGAATCCTCTCACTGTTCCTCCACTTCTAGCCTGTACCCCAGTTCTGTATGCATGAATAAATCTTTTATTTTTTTAAAGATTTATTTATGCATACAGAACTGGGATACAGGCCAGAGGTGCAGGGGCGGCGAGAGGCTTCACCAGAGACAGAGTGGGGAGCAGAACAGGCAGATCGATGAAGTACACTGCTGAGGGGAGCAGCGGGCGGGCAAGGAGAGGTCTGCTACGCCTTGTGGTCTCCTCCTGGGCAGGCGAGAATCGAACTCATGCGGAAGTGGCTTTAGCTTCTTAGTGTTGTGCTTTAACCCGCTCTACCACCATAAATCTTTTTTTAAAAAAAGAAGGAAATCTAACCAGGCGAGAAAATAATAAGAATAATGAACAGCCATATACCAGAGGCATTTTGTGGGGTGGAGTGGGAAATGGGATCAAAAACGAGGGAGGGAAGTGCATGGGACTATGATGATGGCACACTGGTGACTCGGTGATGGGAAACCCACGGGGATTACAATTGAGATGAAAAAAAAAATGTACAAAACGATGTAAAAATAAACTATTAAAAATAAATAAGCTCAAAAAAAAAAAAAAAAAGGAAGTCTGAGCTGGCTATGAAGAAGGGCTAAATGCTGTAAGATTCTGGAAATAATCCTCCTGCCCTGTGAGTCCATCCCTAGTCTCAGGGTGTCATCCTAAAAATCTGCCTAAGGTTGGAAGAGGGTTTTTCAAAACAGAGGAGCCAGTGCAGAGCAGTAAGCCTAAGAGGGGAGGGCATAGGTCTTTGAGTCAGATTTTTGTGGTTTTGTTTTCTGGCTGTGAGTCTCACTGGGGCTATTTAACAAACCTTGCCATCTCTCAGAACTGCATTTCCTTGTCTATTAAATAGGAATAATGTCAATTGCTTTGCAGGGATGCAATGAGGATTTCACATCTACTCCACTCACCTGCATTTTTGTGAGTCAGTTTTACTGGTGGATCTGAACTATACCTCTTCCTCTGCATTGTAGCTTGATGTATATGTGCGTGTGGGACTACAGGCAGATTTGAAAGGGTAGCTGTTTTTTTTTTTAAAAAAACTTGATTTATACTCTTTTTGTTTATTTAAGAAGTATATCCTCAAAAAAAAAAAATGCAGACAAACCCCAATCTCTACCCAAGCACAACTTAGGAGAACATACCCACCTTCCCAAGAATCTATCAGGGAGCAATCATTCTCAGGCTGTTGATGATATTGGTAATGGGCAACCCAGATGTTTTCAATATACAAGTGAAGGGCTAAATGAAGGACCTTGTTAGGGCCTGGTTTTACTATATTTCCAGTTCTCAAAATTCTCGTTCTTCTATTCCTTTTCAGAATTGAATGCACTGAATTCAACAACCCATGTTCTGCAGAAAATACCCTTCAGAGATGGTTCCTTTGGTGGGGGTGGGGTAGGGAGGGCATTTCTTCTGGTTGTTTCTCAGACACAGTGATGCCTCTTTGGGTATGGCATGCTTTGTGGTAGGAATAGTGTATGAGATGGATTCACATATTACCTCCCGCCTTGTTTTCTATTTTGAAATCTAAGGAAGGGTAGTGCAGAGGGGTGGGAAAAAGAAGACAAGGAAGCCATGTGGAACTGATTGGTGTGTATCCTTGTGTTGTGACGCAAGTCTGTTCTACATGGGCAGTGTGGGGAAGGAACATGCCACTGGTGTAGAGGAAACGGTAGAGCATTTAGAGCTCCTAACTGGCTCTTAAAGTTCCTTACTGGCCAGGTACACTTGGACAACCAGTTACCTTCAGAAGCCCTGTTACTTTGCATATAAAAGAGAAATGGCAGGGGGGAAATAAAAAGAGCCAACTCAGGGATGGTGTGTGGATTACAAATACTGGGGAATGCAAAAAGGCTCAGCAGAAGAATAAACTGCTAAATATTTATCCTGGTGTAGATTCTGACTTGGGGTCAGACAGCTTGGCTGTTTTAGACTTTATGACAGTCCATTAGTATTCCACACCACTCCCAGGAGTCTGGGTCGGTCATGCCTGGTCATAGGATTTGGACAATGTAAATGGAAGTCCCCCCACATTTCCACCAGGCACTTTACAAACTTATTAGCAATCTTTCAGTTCTCTGTCCCCTGGTCTGTGATGAGGAAGCATGGAAAAGGGGCCTTGGGGAGCCGGGGCCCTACAGAATGAGTGAGTAATTAGATTAAATATAGCTCCCAAGCTGTTATCCCATGGACCCATACTACCAGCTGTTTTAGGTCACTGGGATTTCGGGGTTGATGTTACAGTACCAAAACCTAGTCTGACCTCACCAGTACACCCGAAATCCGTTTCTGTATGCCATTTAATAGAAAAGAAAGGAAAACACCACACAAAGAAAACACATACATATTAACACTGAGCACGGCTGGGCTGTGGCAGAGCTCAGGGCCAGGTGGAACTGAGTGCTATTTGCTGCTGCTCTTGGGAAGGGGCCGGTAGACGCCAATGACCACAGCGTGGTCCCGCTCATAGGGCTCCAGGGTCAGCTGCTCTTGAGGCTTTAAATTCTCCTGTTGCAACTTCCTCACCTCAGAAGCAAACACAGCTTCAGCAGAAGCAGTGGAGTCGATGCAGTTGGCCTTGATGGAAATGAGAAAGTGGCCTCCGTTGCGCAGAAAGGTATGGGCATTTAGAGCTACGATGCGGGACTGGTCTGGCTGGGCCACGTCAGCAAAGATTACGTCCACCATCCCGATGAGCATTCGGTACTTGAGTGGGTGTCGGGCATCTTCGAGAACAGGGATAATGTTGGTTCGCTTCTTAGCCACATTGACCAGATCGCGGCCCGCACGGTGGGAGAACTCCACAGCGTACACCAGACCATCGGGGCCAATGATGTCGGAGACATGGGAGACAGTGGTCCCCGACGCAGCGCCCAGGTACAGCACTTTGGACTTGGGCTTGATATGGATCTGGTCGACCCCTCCGAGGATGGCAGCGGCCAGCTTGGAGCGGAAGGGGTTCCACGTGCGGTACTCCAGCTTATTACCACCCTCAGTCACCGTGACCCGCCGCTCGCCGTACACCGACTGGCCAGGCACCATGTTGAGCGTAACCAGCGCGTCCTCTGCCCCGCGGTAGATGAAGACACCCTCGTGCCGGTGTGGCTCCACTGACACCATGTTGATGATCTTCCTGCGGCGGTTCTTGCTCTTGGCC